GGTGCCGTCTTTCACGGCTTGGGCTGTCTATACTTCTGAGATAATCGTGGCCCCGTCTGACTGGCTGTTTGCTTCTGTGTCTCCGTGCAATGATTGTCCCCTGTCACCGCGCAAACGTGTGCCCGAGTCTCTCACTGCATCAGCCTCTGCCTAAGCTTCTTCCTCTGTCCGTTTCCGACTTTCGGTCTGGGTCTCTCTGTCTCGCTCTGCCTCTGTTGATCGATTAACGGCAAGTGTTCAGGGTTGATTCCTACATTCTACATCTTCGTATCTGTCGACGTTCCGACGCTTTGGGGTCCACGCCCTGCTCTAAAGCTCTACTGATCCTTACGTTGCCTGGATCTACAAGTCTGAACTCATAAGCCTGCCAAAACAAACCAGAGGTGCTGATCCAACACCCCTACACGCAAACCCAGCCCTGACCCATCAACTACTCAGAGCAGCAAACCGAAGTCGCAAAGCCCTAGCACCCTCAACCGAAAGTCCTGAACCACGGAACCTCAAACAACTACAGCTGCAAACCATGAAACCTAAAGTTCACGCCCTAAGGCCCGGAGTGCTGACGTGCTGCAGTTTTTTAACAGCCTTCCTTTAGGCCCTAAACCATAATGACAGCATTAATAATGGTAATAATAGTAAAGAATAGTTGTGACTAGTAGTAGTGATAGGAGAGCCGAACAAGGCCAGAAAGACCGGCCTTGTTCTCTGACTCCTCGGATGCACGAAGGCTCGTGGCGATCCTGCCGCAAGCTTCAGGGTCAAGTCCCAAAGCGTTCGTAGTGTCATTCAAATCTCTATCATGGCTACTACTGATGTGGCTACTGGTGAGCTACTTTTATCTCCCATGCTTCTTCTTGTATAAATGTCGTCTATCTTCAGGAACTAGATGGCGCTCTGGCCGTCTTTGTTTCCGACTTCGGACTAAAGCGGTCAAAGAGATTTCAGGTCAGGGACCCCTCTTCCAGAGCCAGTTCCACAGACATACGATCAAAGTTGCGATCAAAGTTTGTCTCGATAGCGAGACAGCAGCATGAAGGCCGATTCAGGCAGATCTCAATCGAAGACTAGCTTCTTTCTGTCACCATGGCTGGGCGGCACATGTGACTTTCTCAGACTAATCCGCCAAGAATGATGCGGAACGATCACGACTAGTTGATGTTTGCCACTCTGCAGAAAAGGGACAGCACGCTGACAATTGATGCCATGGACCACACATCTCTTAGAACTCTGGCACGTTTAGGTATGCCCCCAGTGGACGGGCTGCCACTTAAAGCTTAGCAGCGCTTGTCAGTTCCGACTCATCCCACTTGTCCCAGAGCTGATCTGATAATGGTCCTGCTGATCTCCAGCATCGGAGCCCCAATGGCCTCTTCATGCCGGCCGAAAGCCGCTTATTGGGCCACAGCTCTCCCGAAATCATTGCAAAAGATGAGTCATGAGTGGACACTGCAGGCCTTGTCGAAGTCCATCGTGTCCGCTGCTCGTCGTCCACGGCTGTGGCCTTGCCGCGCCCGTGCTGCACCTATTGCTTCATGGTTTTAAAGCCAAGGTTGTTGGTATTCCCCTGCAGACAGACTCACAACTACAACCGCAAGATGTCAGTCCTCATTATGTGAACAGGATAAAGAGGATGTCGCTGTGACAACCAACACATGCTGCTGAAAGCGTAACTTGTAAAGATCTGTGAGGCAATTCAAACCCTTGTTACTTCTTGTCGACATAGTTCGCTCCTGCGAGACATCCTTGAACTTAATGGGCACGTTCAAGAGTTAAAAGGGACTTCGACCCGGGCTACTGGTGCCAAGTCCCAGCAGCTGGCATCGTGTGCATTCAGTTTGTGAAGAGTCTTCGTAAGTCCTCTTGTGATCAGACGACTACTGTCAGCGTTGCTCGGACAGTCAAAAGAAGACGCAACAAGGCCCCCAGCCACCCAAGAAACACCAAACCTCTGGTAAGCATCGTCTGACAGTGATGTAGTGTAGGTGTGTGCGTTGCTGGTTGTCATAGGATGCCATGTTGTGTCACAGAGTTCCACACCGACTCGAATTTCAGCATAGCTTGTCATGTCATTCGGTTTCCCGTCCTGTCAATGATTGGACAACTGAAACTTTTACGAATTAGCACCTCAGGAACTACAGTCAAAAAAGGATCTGACTCTGCACCACACGGCAGTCCCAACGCATCACTGACCCTCAAACTCTGCTTCGACCCGAACACGGCTCCGTCTGCCAGTCTTCTCCCCAGCCTCCGAAACCCGACAAGCTAAATCAAGCCCTAAACTTCTGAAGCCTCAACACCCCAAACCTTAAAACCCCTAAACCGAGCCCTAGAGCCCCAAACCTTCTAAAGCCCGCAGAAGCCCGAGGAGGGCGCCTTCCTCCTCCTGGTGCGAGGGCCCCGAGGCTTCGCTGCTCGACTCGAACCTCTGAGGCAGCGTTTTGAAAACATGGGGCCATGGGGGATTCAGTCACTTCAACTTGGCGTACTTCTGAACCCCTCCTAAAAGTTAAACTTTTAGCCTAGATATTATAGTTCATATAGAAACCCAAAAAGTTAAAGTCTAAAGAGCCAACCAGAAGAACGCTAAGTCAATAATATACCATACTAGATTAGGGTTTAGGGTTTAGGGGTTTAGGGTATACTATACTAGACTATACTATGCTATAGTATAGGGTGTAGCGGTACATTATGTAAGCCACACACTGGGCCCGGCGTGGATCCAAACTTAAGCATGAAACTGCAGACAACCACGATGCCGTTTAGAAGACATGGAGAACGATGATTCCCGAAAAGCTAGCAGGCGCACTATCCCAGAAGTCCAACAATCCCAAAGGCTTCACAACCCAGGAACATACGTCCCGGAATCTCTGAAGCCCTAGGCCCTAAACCGAGCTCGGTCAGGAGGTTTCGGTACTTCCGCATGCGCTTCCAGCCTCCGGTGCGCAAGGTTCTCCGATGCCTCCGCGTACTGTAAGGGTTGCCACTCCTATTCTTCATTTGGTTCATTCTGGTGTTTAGCTTGTTGCTACTACAAGAACTACGAGTTTCACCGCGATTGGTATCTTGTTTAATTTACTATCACGGCATCCAGTTTGGCCTGAGCAGCTGTAAATCCTTGCAAGCAACAGCAGGGAAACGAGAGAACGTCGTCCAGGCAGACGCAATGCAAACCCGGGATCACCGATTTACACAGACAGGCAAGGAGTCGCGTAAGCTTTTGCCCGCCTAACATGTATGCAACGGAAAACTCAAGATGGCTCTGCGCGACGCGCTCGACATGGAAGTCTGGGTGTGACGGGATTGAATGGCATAGGTTAGTTGTCAGCATGTGCAGATTCCAACCAACCGGAACCTGGAAAATTGCGTGGACATAGCAGTACAGAGTTGGTGAACAAGGAGGATTGGGAAACAGAGGGGTGGTTAGGTGCAGTCAAAACTGCTGCAGTGCTATCCTAGTGGGAGAAGACGTGCGATTACATGCAAGAAAGACGCCCTTACGACTTGGATGCTTGGAACCCGTTATGTGCACTTGCCCTTCAAAAGGTTGCCGTTGAAGTATTTGGCCATTCAAGCTGGCAATACATGCACACACGCTCACAGATAGATAGATAGATAGATAGATAGGCAGGCAGGTAGGCAGATAGATAGATAGATAGACATGCATGCATGCATGCATGCATGCATGTTCCATACACGGACAGAAACATATATACATCATGTATGTATGTATGTATGTATGTATGTATGTATGTATGTATGTGTATGTGTATGTGTATATGTATATGTATATGTATATATATATATATATGTGTAGAATAGACATGTTGACTGTTAGATAGAATCTAGAGACCTAGAGACCTAGATAGTATAGAGGTGCAGGCGGCCACTTAGCCATGCATACAAGTTTACAGTAAGGGTATCTTTTTACATATCTTACTACATGTGAGGATTTAGCAGTGGTCCAGCTACACAGACATGTGTGCATCCATATGTACATATGCAAATACAGACATCAAGTGCACCATGCCATGCTACCGGTTGAGAGATTGATGGTCATGTTGTTCATACTTGTTTTATCTCTTCAACTACCCACTGTGCGATTGTTTTGATTTCATACTACTGAGGATTCAGATGTCAGGAACTCAACTGTGCCTTGCGGCTGCGGGTGCGGGATCGACTGCGGCTCCTTTTCGCAAGGGAGGGCTTTTTAATAATGCTTACAACCACGGCTCAGCCTGCTCGGTTGAGGTTTCTTCCTCCTGTAGACCTGTAAGACTCATGACACCTCTTGTCAGAGAGCCACCCGTTGACATGTCGTCGGAACAGCATGTGTCTCGTCTTCAACAGTGATCATCTTTATCTAGCTATGATAACATGCAGAGGTCTGTGAAGCTGGCCCGACTACTGTAACAGTAGGTTTTCTAAGCACAGCTCTGCAGCCCACTCGCACATATCTTTGCCGTGACTAACTCAGAGTCATATGATGGACTGACTCATGGCATTTGCGACGCTGCTCCTGCTGCCACTTCTGCTCCTGGACCGTGCGCAATTCGCTCGGGAAACAAAGCCAGGGCTTGGAAACTTGGGAAGGTCGATCCCTGCCTGCTTCGTCTGCGATGTCTGTGTCTTGGAGTCTCCTCCTCCATTTGCATCATCTCTTGTTCCTTCGACAAGCGTGTCAGGCAGAACCCAAGCGGTCAATGCACACCCTGCTCCTGTACCGCAAGCACGGGCGTCGGTGGCTCCTCCCACTTCCACTTTGAAAAGAGCATGTGGCTTCATGGCAGTCTGCTAGTCAATGTCAAGACACAACACATCACAACACCTGCTGCGAACTTCCCAGACCCGTCACGAGCAAGTAAAGCAAAGTGAGTCCTCTTGCTCAATTTGCTGCACGATGGCCTTCAAAGGTTTTAGGGTCTCTGTAGACATCTACCACGGAATTCGCGAGCGAATGGCCTCATCCACTTGTGCACTTCCGACTGGAATAAAGGGCCTGGTCACAGCAAGTGCATACTGGGTTCCAGTGCAGCATGTCTCACAGGGTTTATTTGAAATTGAGGGGATAATTGAATTTTTCCGTCTTCAACAACTGAGCTGCGAATCGAAAAGCTCCAAGCCGCGGGCTGAGCCAACGGGGGCGGTGGCGGCTGTGGCAACTCCAGCGGCTGGAGGAAGGGCACCTCTTCCCGCGATGATTCTCGACTCCGCTGTTGGGCCTCTCCGACAGTCTACGACTCAAAGCGCTAGCAACACAACAGCTAAAGAACTCAGGAAGAGGCAGGAGGTACTTCGCGCGCAACTGGAGGTGGCGGAGGCAGGCGACGAGTTTCCAGGAATGGGCGATTTTCCTTTGCCACGACTGCTTGGGAAAGGAACAGTTCTACCGGCAGTACGCAACTCCCACCCAAGTCGCAGACTGCGGAGGAATGTGTTTCTCAATGGAGGTTTGCCGCATCGAGAGCATGACGAAGTGGGAGTTCTAGCCGCACTAGCTGGAGCATAACAGAAGCAGCAACCGCATCGGTAGAATTGCAATGGCGGGAGTGGTCCACTACTGCCACCCCACTGCCCCCTTCACCAACACTGTCACCGCCACCAGCACCAGCACCAGGTCACACTTTTCCTAACTTGCTACTAACCAGTGCGAGTGCTGGTGCCAGTGCTACCACTACTGCGACTACGACCTCCGACTAGGACAACGACAGCGACTACTACTGCTTCTACAACACTACATTCACTGCTGCATCCGTGGCAAACACGTCTAGTTGCCAGGCTGGACAGAATGCTGAAGCTTTCTGTGGGCATGAAGATGCATGAAGCCAAATATATTCAAGCATCTGCCCCATGTGGCATACTGGTCGTGCCTGAAGGAAGCGAAGTGCTGGGGGAAAACTACGCAGATGCTGCATGCAGAGTAGGCAACGCATGCTGCAGCTTGCCTCCGCTGCCTTTCTGCACCGCTGGAAGCTTCACTTGCGTCGGCGGCAGCTGCTCCCACAAAAGCCCCTGCATGCATTTCAAATTGAAATGCTGGCATGACAAACTCAAATCTGTTGCTGTCGTGGCTTGGCCAGACCTGGTCGTCCACTATGTCGAGAAGTGCTTCGACAGAGGACTGTCCTGGGCTCCACCGGTTGCGTCTTCCGTAACAGGAACGGCGCGAGCTAAGATGCTGCCGTCACGTTTCCATTCCTCATCTCAGGCTCTGGCTGCTGCCGTTGCTGCAGCGCCATGGTGCATTAGGCGGTCCATGTCCCACCTCGGTTGCAGTTATAAGCCAGGACAGGCCGAACTACAGCATAAACAGAATTATTCTAGGAGGCTGGGAGGCAAGGGTGCCTGGTGATTATCACAAGGGACATGCCATACAAGATCTTGTGGATTTCTTACTCCGCCTACGGCAGACCTGTGAACCTCAGGCAAAAGCGGGCACGAGGTCGAAGGCCAATACTCCGCAGAAAGACTGTAAGGAGAACAGCAGATCTCGCTCACGCTTGTTGGCTTCGTTCTTCATAGCCATCCTCAAAGCTGCGAAGTTTACTGAGTTCACTGCTTGTCAATGTGCATGGCCGCTCATGATCAATGATGATCAGGATGATGAAGATGGTCGATGACGATGAGCATGTTGGCAGTGATGACGATGCTCATGGTGATGATTCCTGCTACTCCGTCTAGCAGAAGCTACTGAGCTAGTGGCTTGAGGAACTGCGGGATCTGCCATACAATTAGGCGGACTCTTTCGACGAGATTCCAGAACAGCTGTTCTACATTCCACTTCTGGACTGCATCCAAGTAGCCACCACTCCTTGGTTCCAGTGTCTGGAAAACAGCTGGAATCGTGGCAGGTTTTGCGGGATGTGAAGATTAAAACAACCCCAGATGCCAACTCCACTCATTCTTCTACCATCTGTTTGCTAAGATTCCGGAGATCCAATCCGAGCCATCTGGTGATGAGCGCAAGCGAACTCGTGCAGCCACGGCAGGTGCTGTAGGAGGTGCAGCCTGACCAATGCAAGTGCTCGGGGGTTCTCGGTTAATCCTAATCCTAAACTGTACAGGGTTTACCTGTGTTTGCGGATGAGGAATGCGTGCCAAAAGAATCTGTGCAGAAACCAGGAAAGTGAAGTCTCAACTGCTTCGTGCCTGGCGTCCTTGTCGTGGAGTGAACTGGGCCCAACGAACATCACGGGAATCCTGTCATGAGCTCTCGCTTAACATAACATCTTGTATCAGGCAATATACAGTATACAGCAACATGGTACCTATATGTATCTACTCTACTAGTTGACAAATACAGGTTCCCAGGGCTTTGTCGAAGCCTCGGATTCGCCGGACTGTCGCCGAGGAAGGCGCTTCAGCTCTTGAACGGCGCCTCGAATTTTGTAGAAGAAACTATGGCATAGGGATAGGGTCAACATTTTGGGCGAGTTTAGGGTTTGGGGGGCGTTATGGGGTGGGACATAGCGTCTGCACGGGCACGCCACCGTGGAAGAAGACCCAGTCGAAAACGCAAGCACCGCCTGTCTCGTGCAAGCAAAGGCACTTAGGTCGACAGCCACGGCTGTCTGGGACAGGTGCGCCAGGCCTTGATTTTGAGTTGTACAAACAGGTTGGAATCTTCATGGTGCTAGCTACATGATATGGTGTGTACAGGAGAGCCTTGTGACGGGTCAAAGACTGTCCATGCTGCTCCAGAGCTTGAGAATCGAAGGACAAGCAGTGAAATATCCCTTCCAAGGGTTTGCCGCCAGCGAAACAATTTGTGAATATTTGTGAGGTGCGTCGTTTAGAAGTCTGCCACTTCCCGGGGAAAATCCGGATGTTGCCCTGGCACCGTTGTGCGCGCTATGACTTTTAAACCTGTCCGTATGCCCTCCAACAAGATCGAAGAGTGGGCTGCAAAGCCTTGACAAGACTGGCACGGTGCGTTGTACATGTGCCAATGCGTGCAGTCTGATTTCCTTGCTTCCTCGCTCTCTCAGCCGAATGCGCGCCGCCAGCATCTCGGCCTCCTCAAGCGTAAGACCTCAGAAATCCGCAGTGGCTGTGGGCTCAGGGATTCAAGCACCGAAACACGTGAAGAGTTCTTTAGAGCATGAGACTTATTTCGGAACTCTGCACTCGAGATCTTTGCTCAAAAGCTGCGACCGATGCCTCTGAGCCCCGTTGTAGCTCTTGCCAGCTTGGAGCTTGAAGAGCTTGAGTAGAAGCTCGCGACTTGGGGTCCAACGCTGTGCCACCGGGATCGCACCATCTTTGGGGGTCCCGGTCTGCAGGACTTCTTGGACCTGCATCAGTGGTTCTCACGCTGCGGTTCTTGTGCGAGGGCGCAGTAAGGTTTCAGTGAAGGAGCCTTCTTCCGATGGCGTTGCAAGAGCAGCGTGCGGACGATTGCGGACGGCTTTTTTTTGCGTGGATCGAGCATCCCGACAGAAAATTGGAAGCATCTTCGCGCAGGCCTAGATGCTTGAAAATCTTTCCACAGAATTCGCCTTGGGCAACGCCAAGCGAGGAAACATCCGTGCCAGAAGATGGAACAAGCTTGAGCTTTCTGCTCAACAGCTCGATGCTAGTCTTGAAGCTTGAGCGCTTCAGTCCGACAGCTTTCTGATGAGAGACAGCACAGCAAGACAGTACAGCATGCGAGAATAAGCATGACAAAGCAGAACCAAATATCATGTAGGTTTGCACCTATGCACCAGCAAGTTCGCCGGTGCTTTGTCGGCATGGTAAGATCCCCCTCTGCACCAGCTTCGCTTCCTTGGTGGGCACGTTATCTGGAGCAAGTCCGGCCGACTTGCGACTTCTTTGCAAGCAAGTAGCCAGCAGTCCCATGACCTTCCACAGTTTGGCTGGGTTGGGCAGCAGTCAAACATACACCGACCATCATGCCGTGCTACGAAGTTGAGGATTTGGTGAGGCTCTGACGTCATCGACCATGCCGTTGATGCGAAGAGCTGCGATGCTGTCACAAGGAGTTGCCTGCACAGAGCGCTTTCGGACCAGTCGGAGGGCGACTCTCGGACGATGAAGCGTGAAGCCGTCGTTTCATCAGATGGATCGGCCTGGAGGTTCACGATCACTAGACCAGCATCCCGCCTGCAGCACCACGGCACTGAAATGTGGTGCGCCATGCATTGTACATTCATCACATCGGCCTCTGAGGCACACAAAACACATCAAACAACCATGCAGTGTGCAGAATACAATTCCGCAACTTCTGTAAACACCCGGCCATAACTGAAGAATCAATGCCCCCCGCCCATCCCCGCCCTTTGTCAGTTTTCGACACGGCCTGCGCGAATTGCGCTGTGCGACCCAGGCTGGCATATCTGATGCAGGAGTCACCTGCAAGCTTTGCCCATACGAGCTCTACAAGAATTTACAAACCACAGATACCCTTCTGAGCGCCAAAAGCAAGACCAAAAAGCTGAAGATCAGCGGAGATGCAGTTATTGAGCTGCCCAGCGCCAGGCAGAGATCAGCGGCTTCGGCCTCCTCCCAGGCCTTTTGCACCACCTTCTGGGGTAGGTCGTCGCCGAACCCAACCTTTGGTGAGCAAGCCGCTTTCTCGTAACATGTTGGAGTCTGGTCTAATTTCACTACTTGACGATTTGTCTCTTTCCTATTGAAGAGATGACCACAGCACGCTTTGGCGAGCGGCCATCAGCTAAGCGGGTGCATGATCTGCTTTCACCGTTACAGCCCTGCACCATTCGAAGCCTGGCTGCACCGCTGTGGCGCAGCCGCCCGCCACATCCGGGTGCCTCACAATCGCGGCCGGTGAAGCCGCCGCTGCAGATGGTGTTGAAATCCTTGGCTCAGAGAGTGCGAGCCAAGGAGCACCTCGTTCCAGCTTCACTTCTTGAATGCAACTGCAGCCAGCCGGCACGCTCGTACTCGCGGCCGCACTCGACACACCTACTTGCAAGTACTGCCGGTCTCTGGTCAAGTTGGGCCTAGAGCCTAGGTGCAATCAGGGAAGCTGGGAAGGTTCGAGTCGGGGCCTCTCCACGAAGATGTTCCCGTGCAGCTCGCTCAATGCATCTGCAGTAATTCCGGATTTGCGGTGCAATCCATCAACCTGCGCTGAAGGACTGCAGGTATATGCCTTTCTCATCGGGAGCTCTCTGCTGGCACGAAGGACGGCCTAGCTCTGCGAACCCTTCCGCCCCTCCAATTCATGCAGGTGGCGTTCTGCGAGATGATGTGCTTGAGCACTCCGACCTTCGCAACATCAGAGAGTCTGCAATTTCCGTACGCTTCTGCGGATTCGCAAGCTTCAAGCCTTGGGCAACCTCGAACCGTAACAGCCGGAATCCCAAAAGCCCTAAACTTCTGAGCCTGAACACTGAGCCAGCTGCCTTCCAGAGTCTGAAAAGGAAGCCGTGAGTCGGACCAGGTCTGGCCTGGACGCACCTGAGCAGATGGCGCTCGCAAGGATGCCTAAACCCTCACTTGGCCTTACTTTCGCTCTGCGTCACATGCACACATGCATGCACGCCTACATGCCCTAGATTGATAGATAGATATCTAAACACAGACGAGCAGGTTACCAAGACAACCGAGCAGGTGGGGAAATGCAGATATCAGAGACGCATCTCCGGGTTCACACTTCTCATTGCTTGCAACGAGGCGCTGCTCCAGGATGTTTTTAGATGGTGTTTCACCTTTCGGTCTCTCCCACAATCCTGGTCCAGTTGGCAAGCTGGTGTTCATACCTCGATGGATGTCAAAATGCATCGGAAAGAGTATTCGGAAGAACCAAGACTGTCCTTTACTATACTGCTTTAGGGCTCGTGCCGCTTCGGAAATCTGCGATCCCAGCGCCAGTGGACACACCAGCACCTCCGGGTACTTCCCACGTCAGAACGTGCCAGAACACTTTGTCATACTGTGCCTGTTCTGCATCTACTGATGTTCTGGTGTCCTTGTCTGTTTATACTGTGAGCATGACAGGTCAGGGTAGCCTTCCTCTGAACTATCTCTGGAACTTAGGGCCTGGGATGGGTCCTATCGCGGTGCACCTGTGAACGCAATCACGTGGCGAGCTTTGGAGATCATCTGCGCCAGTTTCTCGCACTTTGCCTCCAACTCTGGCTTCGCGTCGAAAAACTCTTTCAAGCGGTCCTGAGTTCAGTATGATCAGCGTGTGACTACTTCAGTCAAGGCTACTGCTGCAAACTTCTACCCGTCTAGATACTATACTATCCTATCCTCTACTATGCTATGCCATACTCTAACATACCATACCCTATACACTGAACACTATAGACTATGTACTCTTGAAACTATAGACTATACTCTGGACTCTACTCTATACTCTATACTCTATACTTTACGGTTACTATACTTGACTAGACTAAAATATTTTACTATGCCACACCATCGTAGACTATACTGGCTGCTATGCAGTATATTGTACCTTAGTGACTATACCAGAACCAAGCTGAGGCTCGGATTCGTAGGCGGCCCAGCAGCCGGAGCAAAAGAATTGTTTCGTTTGCCGCTCATCCACCCTCCCCGATGGGTCTCGCCGTCCGCATTGGGCACAGGCTGGCGGTCTTCCGTTAGAAATGGCAACCTCATGGTAGCAGAAGTGTCCAAAATGCTCAAAACATATCATGCAGCAGTAACCAGAGCTACCCCCAAACCTCGCAACTCAGCTCGGGTCCATGGCAGCTTCCTGGCAGCCCATGCAGCTCCGCTGCCCATGTCGCCCTGGGTGTCTCGCCAGGCCAAGCTCTCTTCACTTGTGTTAGCTTACCCAAAATTTGCCCCAACGTGGGGGGATTGGTCACTTGCAGTGCTCAAGATGAAGAGGTTCCTTGCACATGCATTGGGACCGCCCTCTTCTCGACCCGGATCCTATCCTGGTGCGAGCGCGTCGCCGTGGTACCGGCATCCCGGCCCGCAGCATTGCCGACAGGTCATGTCTGATCGTGGCTCAACATTTACTGTGTGCTGCTTGGATCGTAGAGGCAACCGTAGCGTTCTGCGATACCTGCGTGTTGTCCATCTTCGGCTCAGACAGCTACTCCAGTCTACAGTATCAGTATCAGTTTGAAGGCTCCATCCAGGCCTCGAGGGCTTGATGGGCTTGGGCCCAAGCTGCGTGAAATTCCTGTTGTCTCGGAGTTCAAGAATCAAAAGCACCACGAACCCGGCTCCAGAACCTTTTCAGCCAGTCGGATTCAGAGTCGCATGTTCTGCTGCACTCCCTTGTGCAGCGCATCCAATCAGTGACAGCACATCTGCGATGCATGCCAGAACACCACATGATAGATCGAAACTTTGAGCAGTAAATGCCTTTAAGCCGCTGTACATGAAAGTGCGTTCCGCATCAGCAAAAACGGCTCAAACGACACAAGAAATTCCTGGAGGGCTGTTCTATATTAGCTGTCGTGCCATCAAGATTAGATAGATCCTCCGCTCAAGTGGACCGCGGCAACTTAGAACAACCCCCGACTGTGCTGTGTGATGTCTACTGCAGGACTTTGGCCTCTTGCCAATGAGCAACGGGTAACTGGCTGCCCGAATCGTATTTGACAATCGCAGCCTCCCAGCTGGGGCTTCGGTTATCCCAACTTGCTAATTTTTGAATGAACAGCACTGCCGGCAGACAAAAAGCGACTGCCTGGCTTGCGTGTGCTGTCATTCTCGTGCTGACTCCGATGTCTCGTCTGACTCTAAGTCGCCGCCTGAGGGCGTCTCCTCGACAGGATTCAACCTTGCCAGGACTTCCAAAAGCCTTTCATGGGAGATGTCTGCTGGCCGAAAGATGCGGTAGTTCCTGATGGATACAAAAGTCATCCCCAAAGACACGAACATGCCATAGAGGGTATGTGCACAAACTTCTCGATCATATACAGGACACATGAGTGTGGTCTCCTTCTCGATTCGCATCTGAAGGTTTACGACTGAGACGCCTTGTACAGGTATCAAGACCTCCTTGGAACCCATAGGAAAGCAAGATAAGATCGGCAACAGCAGTGGCAGAAGCATGTAAACAGCCACCGTCTTGGACTGCGAGGCCACACGGAAGAAGCGAATCAGCGTGTCGTCCGCCTCCTCGCCCATCTCGTCCTCTTTTCGGAGTTGAAGGTCAAGGACTGAGCTGATGGAGCCAGAAACCACGCCAAAGCCGGCCATGCCGACAAAGGAGCTCCAAACCGAGAAGAAGATAAGGGCACCATTGAGCCCCGGTGACGTCAATGGAGAATTTGAAACGCACCAGCCATGCTTGTCCATCTCGACGGACCCCGGGAACATGCTGAGAGAAAGCTGCATGCTGTTGACAAGGATGAACACCACTATGAAAATCCGAATCATGCAATTCGACCGGAAGATGTCCTTCATGGTGACGCGGTGTGCCTGCTTGCTCCACATGAGACCCATTCCGGGCAGCGTGTCATTCACACCGCCGCATGCAGTTCCGCACCACCAGCGCCTCTTCGGGACCTCAGTTTGTTTCGATTTCCCTGCGCGTCTCAATCTGCTACGGGTTTGAGGCGCCAGACAACTGAGCAAAGAACCCTGTTGAGTAACTCTGCTGGAAGCGGAGGCTCCCCCAAAATCACAAGAAAGTATCTGGTCATGTTTCCAACCACTACGCACGAAAGGATCGCCATGCAAAGCTCAAGGGTATAGGCAGTGGCTGGTCGCAGCATGACCACCTGATCAGATCACTCTGCAAAGACGCAGGCGCACTAAAATGGGTGGAATGCGGCCTATATGCTCTTCCAGGCACACAGCGACTTTAACGAAATTTAAACTGCCTGATGCTTGCCAGGCAAGTCACGAAGGCCACCGACGAAATTGCAGCGGGGATGTAAACGATCCCTCGAACCAGATCGATCGAGTAGGGGACCAAAGGCCTCTGATCCTAGAAGACACGAGCGAGTTGTCGGGACCAAACCGCTCGTGCATGTTATTGCACCCCAAAACGCGTGAGGTCCAGCCAGTGTCCTGTTCGCACATTTCATGGCTCAAGCGCGCGTCCTTGATTCCCCATCCTTGGCCGAGCGGGTTCTCAACCAGGGAACGGCACAGACCTCAAGAAAAGGCATTCGCAGTACCTGCCAGGTGTCGAACCACGAGCGTAATCGTCACCAGAAAGTTGATAAGTGTAATCACACCGAGCGTGATCCTCAGTTCAGAGGCAGCAACTCAAGGATTATCCTGTGCCTGAGGTGCGAGTAGATCAACCACGAGCAGCTCCACACAATGGCCGAAGGCACAGTTGCCAGGGCAACTTATCTTCGGTCACAAAAGCTGTATACGTCCAGATAGCATTCAGCGGCATGGCGGCAGCTGCAGCTGAATACTACAGTTGAGTCTAAAGAGCTTCTCGCACATGCACATCACAGGACACTAGAACTTCGTAGGCTTTGGTTGACTTGCTAAGATGAAAGCTTCTAACTTACATTGCTAGATACGGACTGTCTCTCTAGTCTATGCATGATCTGTTTCACCCATGTGGAGCCCAAAAGTCTTGCAAGCGCACAGCGCCGTTTCTTGGCCGTAGCTTCAGACTTGCATCCTGACTGCTGCAGTTCTTGCCCGGGCCTGTGGGGGCACGCCACGCGGATAGAACTCCTGCACGCCCGAAACTCTAAGCCCCAAACATCCCCAAACACAACCACTAAAGCCCCAAACCCGTCAGAAAGGGCATTTGGAGATCGGTACAGTGATACCAGCACAGCAGCAGCCGTACTCCTGCACAGCGCCCATGATGTCCTCATCGCAGGTCAGCATCAGGCTTTCCAGAGATTTTGTGGGTGGGGTTGGGGAAAGGCCTCTAGAATCTACAAGGTGTCAAGCCGGTCACAAGTCTGAGAACCCAAGAATCCCAAGACAAGGTGTGCGTAGAGTGGCTTTGCGCGATTCGGGAGCCCGGTGACCTGCTCCTGTCCCGGATCTGCCAGAGCTCTGCAAGCCAAAGCACATGAGGTTTCCCTTTATGAGTACCTTGTCGCTTGTTGGGGCTTTGTACAACAAGATCTGTGCTGTTTAGGGTCTCTTTCTCTCCCTCTGTTTCCCGAAACCCTAAGCCTCAGACCCTCAACTCCCGCCCCCCTACTTTTGGCCACTCCCAGTTATCGTCCTCTTGCACCATTGGCCAAAACACGTCCAAGGGGATCTCTTCCGGGACGGCCAGTGTTACCGAGTGGACCTGAAATCACAAGGCTCGTGCATAGAGTACTTAAGAGAGACACCCTGGCTTGAACACCGTGCTCTTGCAGTGTCTTCTTTTACATCTTTTATGGCCCTTAGGCTGAGGAGTGCCAGGGCCCCAATCTTCGGGGCGAGTTGTCAGGCTTTAGGAAGCTTTGCAGCCGAAGACATTTGTGCCAAGACCTACTTCAGTATGACAACTGCTTTGCCACATCCCAGGAACATCTCCCGAATGGCCCTAAGCCTCGAACCTCAAAATCTCAGTCTCCAGACCCCGAAACTTCCTGCCTCATGGCGTCCCTAAGGCCTAAACTCCGATTGCCCGAAGCACTCAAAGCCGCCATGAGGTCTACATGGACCCAATACAACAGCACGAGCTCTACTCATGTACCCCAATAAAGAAGGGCGGCACATATGTATGTCATATGTAAAACATTGTAAAGGAGGAACAAGCAACCACCAGAGATCTCAGGAAATAAGACGAAGCCAAGAACGTGCACAAACCGACCGAACCGCGCCAGCCCGGGTTTCCTGAGTCCTGGGCGCGGGAGACCGGGTCTACGCTGGACATCCCAGGCATGTCTCCTCGTGTGGCGTTGTCATGGTCACGGTTTGCCAGGCTTGGGGGCTCGGGTTTTTCGGAGCAGAAAGCGAAGGCACGGGTTGAGTGGTACCGAGTGGAAAGCAGAAGAGGGAATCCCTGCCGGGCCTACATTCAGCGCCAGCATGGCCTGCGCCACGCCTCAGGCCAAGCATACATATAAAACAAGGATCTGAAAGTCTAGAGATTGTGGTAGGTAGGCGTGCTGCCACAAAAGCACAGGAGTTTCAAACGATCCGGGAACGGCACGTCGACGCTCTGTGTGCAGCACCTCGGTCGCCTGGTCGCAGGCCTGAGCGGCGTGAACCTCAGAAGCACCGCAGGCAGCACGCTACTAAATCCAAAGCGTCTCCCTTCCAAAAGTTTAATCAAGCTTCCTCAGTGCACGAGACAAGCCTGTGATGTAGTAGAGCTACTACAGGCCTCCTTCTAAACTTCCGACAGCTAAGATGATCGCAGCTCGCTTGAAGGCTTCCCCTGCGCTTCAGTGGCCAATTGGTCAGTGACGCGTTGCATGAACGCCAGTGACGAGCACGGAAGCACAAGCGCGGCGCAGCCTGCTATGCTGTCGTTCTTTGCAGCAGCCTGCCAGCACTGGAACCATCTGGCAACGCGAGAACGCCATTGACAGGCGATTCAGGCTTTGGTTGCCGGCCTCAGCACATCTCTTGGTGCCTCGACGACGTACTTCTGCACCTCGCAGCTGCCAAGGGCGCACCGGAATCCGGTGACAGCTTATCGCGAAAGGCACGCCCACCTGAACTGCTGCTGCTGGTCGTTCCGCCGTCCTCCTGTCATGGCAAATCCATGGGCCAAGCGGAGGAACACAGCTGACTTCCAGCTTCGCTCATCCTGCCTCCGAGTCCGAGGTGCAGAGAGGCCGGCCTGCAGCATCCGGGCTTAGGGCTGAGATTCTGGAACCTCCCTTCCAGAAAAGAACCCTCCAGTGCGCTAGTCGCACCTCGCCGGATGTCTCTGCTCCGCCTCCGCACCTGCGAAAGGCGACAAGGTCCCAGCCAATGTTAGACTGGGTGAAACTCACAGAATATGTCGTCGGCGGATGAGGTATGAGTGCAGGCCAGGATTTCAAGCCGAGGGCTTGGTTTAACCCCAAGCCTGCAACAAGGTAGGTCTCGAGCCCGTAACTTTTGAGGGTATTTTCGCTGAAAGGCAAGAGATCGCCAGATCCGCAGGTCGTGATGGAGGTTTGGGCTTCAGGTTATCAGGTCCTTGGGGCCATATATCCCTGACGTTGATGGGTCTAGAGGTTTCGGGTGGTTTAGTAGTTGTTAGTACCCAAAGAGCGCCAGGTCACAGGTATACTCGGCTAGCACAAAAAGAGCCCTTAACACCTGGTACTCTAGCGAACGTGGTTGAGAGTTCCGGGTTAGAGTTTCCAAGACCTTGCACTTGCCTCCTATTTGGTCTGCATCCCCTGAACCGCAAACTAAAAATAGCGGAGAGCAGGTCATGTGACCCCGACCCCATGTGAGACACACTTTCGCGAGAGACGCCTCTTCCCCCTCCCACCGACCCTTTCCAGAGCATTGCAATGCTGTTGCACTATTTCGCACTGAAGACTCGTCCGTCACGTGATAAGTCAATAGTGGGACCAGCTGCACCATCTCAATTCCTTCGTTTTTGGCCCAGGCGTATGTAATAGATTGGATACCCTACACAGGAAAAGCTGCCAAGGCCTCGCGATCGGGGGACTCCTCGCTGGGCTCGACGTTTCCCGTTCCTGGGATTTCAGCAACTCCTTTTCGGCTTCTCAAGTTGAGGGCTTGAGGCCGAGGGCCACACGGATTTAGCTCTTTAGCTCCATGAGTGAGCAGTCATCTGTTGGTTCTATCACTTAGTGAAGCAGGGGCGGGGCCCCTCTAGCTTCGAGCCGCTTGCTTCAACAAAAGCTGCAGAGGAAGCTAGTTGACATCGAGCATGTCTAAGATTGTGACTCAGCTAGACACCTATGTACCCGTAATAGCGAGCGTCTGGCAGGATCTTGCAGCGTTGGCGACAGCACCAGCAAAATCCCAAACAGAATTATTATACAGCCAGACAAGGTGCTCAAATGTTCGTCAAGCTCGTCCAGCAGCTTGGCGTACTGGTGGCTGCCTGTTTTGAGAAACAGGGCTTCGTTCGTATCGTTTGACCGTTTTGGCAGAGCCTCCAATGGCGTGGAGGGCAGATAACCTTGGTTAGCAAAGCCGGCCAAATGTTGCCCCACTCCTTCAAGACTCAAAGATCAGGTGCTTATCCAAAACTGAACCCTAAAGCCCTCGACCCAATTCAACCGATGTCGCAGTACATTTTATATTGCAGTATATATTATAGTATACTACTCTATCCTAGTCTATTCTGTTCAAGACTGATCGGAGAATATGGCGGCGAAGGTGTCTTGGCCCCGCGCGAGGCTCTGAACTCCGCAGCCGGGCAGCGGCCCTCCGAAACCTCGGCTTCTGGATCGTATAGTAACAGTAGTAATCGTAGTAATCGTAGTCATAGTAGTAGTAGTAGTAGTAGTAGTAGTAGTAGTAGTAGTGGCAGTAATCCTCATAATCATAGTGTAGTAGTAGTCGTAATGGCCGTAGTGACTAACGACTGCTGCAGGGTCCGATTTGGAGCTCGAAAATCCGAAGGGAGGTGAGTTGAGGCTTCGCTCAACTTCTGGGAACTGCTGCACGATGTGCACAGGCGTTCTCCACAATCTGCTACAGCAAGATCCCTTTCGCAAGCAGAGCTGAACCTGACTCTCTTTGAGATAATCTCCTTATAAGAAGTTGTAAACATAGCCACAAGCTTGGGCTCGACTCCTGCTCCTGCTGTTCAGTATCTACGATCTGGGAGTTTCAATCGATAAGAGGTCTTCCATTATGTACACCCCAAATGCTAGGATTCTTATTATAAGGATCCCGAAATACATCCACTTTCTGAAATCACCCATCTGGCCCTGGCGCCCGACATCTGATCCTGCGGTCGCATCCACAACTCAGGACTCTGACTCAATATTGTTGTTAAACCTAAAATCCTAATCCCTGGCATTAAGTTCACCCGTCTCCGAACCCCGGACTGACTCTGGGCTGTCGGCTGCGTACTCGTAGTCACCTGACATTTCTAGTTTCCTTAGGGTTTGGGGGGTAGCTTATAGCATACTATATAAACTTTTCCGGACTATGAGGCTATACGGGAACAACATGTCGTGGTGGTGGCGGCGGCTGTGTGTTTACCGACGATACAACTGGAACGACAACGATTTCCAGACTGTCCGTAGCTGGGGGTTCAAGCCTGACTGCATGTTCAGTATCGGTTGGTGGGGTTGTTTCGTTTTCAGTCGGCATGTGAGGAATCTGTGGCCCTTATCTATTACGAGGCAGAAGCGTCACATGGGCCTTCCAAAGAGGACTGCAGGCAGCGCAAAATGCAGAGATTCCCTAGAGGAAATGAGAGCATTGGGCCAGCCCGCGAGTCGGCTTCGGGCGCGAGGTCCTGAGCCCAGCGCGCAGTGCAAGAAGAAGCCGCTGTGTCTCTCCGGCCGCGCATTGCACGGTGTGAATAGGCCTTGGTCTTGGGACTGAGTGCAACCCTTGGTTGAATGGTGGGAGTGGTCGGTGGTGACGAAGAACGAATATTGCAATCAGCTACCAGCACTACAACCTCACATTGATCGACCTCGCTGTTCTGTGGGGGAGGGGATCTCTGCTGCTACTCTTGCGTGTTTTTTCGGTCTTGCAGCGTTGATTGAAGACCTTTCCTGAGCATCAGTCGTCGAGATCTTCGGGTGTCCGGGTCGTAAAGAAAGGACGGTGTGTGATGCAAGCTACCCAGGCAGCGAGAATGACAAAACTCAAACTCAGCAGCCAGCACAGGACAGTCGGTGAGCAGAAGCTCGAAAGACAACACCTGGCCACAAACGAAACCAGGAACAAGACTTACTTGTAAAGCATCAGGTGCGGGAAGCCTTGACCACCTCTCCAGACGCTGTGTCTCTGAGAGAACAGCCCACGAGTGTGTGACCTTAGTTGTCTCTGCTGTGCGAGAATTCCCTGTAAAGCGACTTTCGCACACATACTGCTCTAAAGCCCAAGACTAGTACCGAAGAACCGGGGCAGCTGCAGAATGTCAGGTACTCCTCCGTGACTACGGGAGTGACTCGGAGCAGGTAGCGGAGGATCTCCTGAGCAAATCGGCCCAGGAGAACGGCGGCAGCGCTTGTACCGTTACTTCTGCTTGTGTTGTCGCCTCCCCCACTTAAGCGATCTTAAGCGTGCACCCGCACGTGTAAAGACGCCTTGACGAAAAAGTGCGTATTACGTCGTGAACACTTTCAACTTTTGTTGCCATCCAAAGGTGCTTAGGACGTTTCCTGAATGTCGCGTACAGTTTGCAATTGAATTTTCAACAGAAGACGACGACACCCTCAACACACACCTCGCACGTTCAACGGAGCATGTAGCACCGTATTTTCGATCCCCGTCTCAAGTGCGAATGCTCTCGACTCAGTGCCCGGCACTCAGCGAGACCAGTGGCTCCACCATGACCTCAGCTGGGTAGCAGGGCTGGTATTGGTGGGGCCTTCGGGCTCTCTGCAGATCCGAGCATGCACCAAGTTCTCGGAAAGATGGACTTGGGCTCGGATCCAAACCAGCAGAACACAGCGCGTGGTCGTAGCAAAAACAATAACGATCGTGAACTTCATCCTGAAATCTGCCGAACACCCCTGAATAGTCACGTGCGATACTCTCTGAGCCAGCGGCCGAGACGACATCCCGACCCGAGCGGCCCTTTTGCGAGGGCTCCTCGCGATGCTTGCCGTGGGTTTTACGGTTCGCGGTGGGAAATCTTGGCTTCAGGCTCCTGCAAGGTAAGCTGTGGCAATTCTCCACGAGATTCCACGATACCACGATGCCTAGACATGCCTAATTTGACACACTCCCGACACTCCAAGGCTAGCCCAGGGAGGGGATTTGAATCCCTCAGGCGTTCTAGCCACAGATTCTAGCCCAAGGCGAAAAAACAGCCTAAGCACGCACCCGAAACTAAGATTTAGTAATCCATCGCTTATGAGAGAAACCCTGATGCGGAGTTAGCTTTCAGCACTCCTTGGAAGCACGCTGCCAGTGCTCCAGGCGAAGCTGTACAGGCTCCGTAAGCGCCTGAGGGCACCGGCCGGCAGATCTGCAATTACGAAAATTCTATACTGAACTTAGACCCCTAGCAAAACTTATAATTTTAGCTGTTTCTTAGGGTTTATAGTAGCCAAAGGTTAAAAATTATTTCTAAGTACCCCTAAGAATACGTCGGGCTTCGGGTTGGGGTTTAGGGGGTGTGCGGCCTAGGGGTGAGTTCGCCCGTAGGAGGTAGGAGATAGATTCGTGCACAGGCGGATTTGCTCGCCGGATTGGGAAACTTCGGGCACTAAAGCCAGGCAAAACCTTTCTCAAACGTGAGCCTAAGCGCGATGCTCCGAACTCTAATCCACCTTAACCCTGAAACCCTGAAGCAGTAAAACCCCGAACCGTCAAAACACTAACACCAATAAAACAACTCACAAGCCGTAACTAGATCCAGTACGGCCGAATCGCGCATAGAAGCCTGGCAATGGAAAAATCAACAGAACAGGACTTCTTCTGCGATCATCTCATCTAAACTCTAAGCCAATACAGCGCACTGACATACATATGTTAGCCCCGTAGATCCACGGGGTCTGACACCAGCAAGAAACATCATGCTGTTTGAGCTGGTGCAAGGCAGTGCGATAAGCACATACAACTCGCATTTGGTAATTGTGTTCGTTCCAGTGCCCGTCATCGGAACAGGCATCTATTTGGAGCATACTGAAGTTTGTCAATGCAATCGAAACAGGTATGAGACAAGCCACAGGGATTGTACTGGCTTTAGCAGTCGCACTCACGACACTCGGAATTTGTCCGCTAGTCACATATGTGCTGGGAGCCTCGACCGAGAAGCAGCACAAGCATTGAGCTGAATGAAACTCCAAGAAGAAACTCCCGAAACACAATGACAATACGTACAAACATCAGTATATAGCGACAAGAAGAAGAGGAGACAAACAGAACAGTCAAGGATGACAGTCCTGAACCCCGAAAACCAAATCACAAGTCGGGCATGTGGCTGGCCTTTAAGCCTCGATCTCGCTTGTAGCGCCATATAGGGAAGCCTCGGAGGGGGGCTTTTCCGTTGTGACAATTCTTGGCTGCGAGCCGCTAGAGTAGGAATGGTCCTTCCTTGGGATGCGCAGACATAAAAACGTCGCCAACAACCGATCCTTCGTGTCATGAACGCACTGCCCACCTCTCACGCTCAAGCACGGCTTGAAACGAGTGGCATTCCGCGGTGCAAACCATGGCTTGTAACACCTGTGGCTCCCGGTGTTAGGGTTGTGCAGGCTCCTCTCCGCTTCCGCTCGTCGAGCTTCCGGGTTTGGGGAGTGCACGTGAGGGGCTCTCAGGGCTTTGGAGTCGACATATCGGGGCAGCTAAAGGGTTAGAGTCAGGCAAACGCTGGACATTTTGCATGCTGTCACTTTAGGGACCACGGACCACATTGCATGGGCGACGTCTGCAACTCCACGGCCCTTTCCGGACGGCATGGAAGGCCGTTGCGCCATACAGCCCTAAGAAGCTTGGTTTGCAGGCTTCAAACCACGAAACATCACGAAACCCAACACAGTCACAGGCCTGAAAACCCGCACCGAACCCTTCTTAGACTCGTGGACCTCAGAAGACGGGGCCTCCAGAAGGCGTCGCATCGCTGCCTGCAAGGAAGCTAGGGGTCGCAGTAGTAGTAGTAGTAGTAGTAGTAGTAGTAGTGGTGGTAGTAGTAGTAGTAGGAGGAGGAGGAGTAGGAGTCGTCGGTGGTATGAGTGGAGCAGCAGCGTCGAGGGAGTAGTTGCACTATCCCAGAATGTATACTGCTCAGTGCTTCTGTGCATTGCAAGAGCAAAGAAAGCTCACGCCTTCGGAGCCTTGGGCTCTCGGAGCTGGAAGACTTCCTCAAAGATCGCCCAGCGGTCTTGCTGGAGCTTTCCTGAGCCTCAGTGACCGTCACGCTGCATGACGTCCCGTGTCGAATGCCGAGCCTTGAAGGAGCCGCAAGAGCCGACCTGCCCAGAGGCTGTCGGAGAGTTGCGCGATCACGACAAGCGATTACTACAGCCCACCTGCGAAGTTGACGGACTCCATTTCAAAGGCCGTGCACTTGTCGCAGCCAGCTCCGAACCTCGCAGCTGCGTCATGTGCCCAAGACGTCTCTGGATCCGAAATGATCCGAACTTCAAAGTACCAAAACACCAAGACTCGTGCAGCAGGTCTCGAACTGCCTGAAGGGCCTGCAGCACGGCGGAGGGGCGGTGGAAGACATGAAATCTAAGAGGAGCCTGCTTCATGACCCGTGCGTCACTGCCAGCACTGGCTTGGTCCAGGAGGCGAACAGCTCCTACATTCTCAACGCACCATTCATCTCAGCAATTCCGGCAAAAAGCTCATTGAATTTCTATTATGCTTGTCTTGTCGCACAGATCTATCTGAGGGAGTAGAGGGCCACACACAGACTAGAGCCGGTCGGACCAGGCGCACATCCCTGAGAGAGGGACCCAAGCAGACTACTCCAATTCACCATCCGCAAAGAAGCGAACCGAGCTCTCCTGACAGCGCCCGTGGCTTCGTCAGTGGGCCCACGGAAGCAAGGCCTTGAGTCCATTGAGATGTTGCTGTTGCACTTTTCCGCGCCGGCACTCTGATTTCCAGAGCGCCGTGCTATGCACCCACTGCAAAGAAAGGCCCACGCTGGCCAGCTCTTCGCAAAGAGACGTGGCTTCACGGAGGAGGTCCTGAGGTCTCCGAGATGCAAGGGCCCTCCTCCTTTTCCGGTCCGTGCGCTTGATGTGAACAGAGCTGCAACAGTCTAGTTCAAGCATGACCGGCAGCTTCATGCAGGTCCTCGTTGGGGACCGCCTTCTCCTGTGCCAGCGCTGGCCCGAAGCAGCCAGCCTGGAAGGGAATCGACATGTACAGGCTGCCTTCTGTTCCAACTCGTCCGCCTGTTGTGGATCCCGGGCTGCGATGAGCCGCTTTGCCCAACGGTACACCTGCAAACCAAACCTCTGCGAACACCAGCTGAGCTCTGAACTAAGGTCTGCAATTAAGAGCCATGCCCCGTGTCGACAAAGCGTGGTCAGAAGTCGTGGTTCTTCGAGGGCTCTAGCCTGCGAAAATTTCGCGCTAGAGAACATGCCCTCCTCATCTCAAGCATTCGACACTGTCCAACTTTACAGGGTAAACATCCAGGTAGCCGTGCGTGACCGCTATTGCTGCTTATTAAATTGTTTGCTCGTATCGTTACACAGGGAAATCGATGTTAGCATTCTATGTTTACTCGCTTCATAAGACAAACTGCCTGGGCGTGTTCAACCCCATAGCTGCGACTCTTCTGATCCCTGATATGAGGAGTCTTCTTAGTGCGGCCCTTCTGACAGTGCTGCTGAAATGAGGCACGCCTGAAACCCTAAACCCTAAACCCGGAGGATTGTACAGCAATTGCCATGCCTTGAGGGCTCTTGCGATGCGCATGGCGTAGAGGGCCTGGGCGTAGATCAGGCGAGCCGCTTGGATTGAAGGCTGAAGAAAGCAAAAGCCCGAGTCATTGCTTGAACTTCGCTGGAACCTGGGAACCTAGACCCGAGTCATTGCTAGTCGAACACAAAGACGACCTGATTGCCCAGACCTCACCCAGCTACTCAGATCATCTCAGGTTCCGGCAGAAGAAGCGCCAGAGGTGCCCTCAATGGCCCGACACCTGCCGTGAACAAAGAATCAGAATTGTTGCTGTCCTAGTCTCCCCTATGGACATGATTGCCACCACCACCATCATAACATGAGCCGATTGGAATTTGATCTTTTGGGATTTGGTGAGTTTGGGCTCCAGTGGCTGTGGTTTGCGCCACGAGGCACGTCTGCAACGAGCTGCATGGCGTTTGGCGTGCTTCGAAGGTCGGCACTGCTGAGCCGTTACTGCCTCAGGCCTCGCCTGAAATTGGACATCTCTCGGCTCTCGACCCGCCGTCATGCTTCTGCGCAGCTTCCGAAGGCAACACTCGGTGCACCCTGGCCGATGACTTGAAGCCAAGGGACAGGAAGCCATTGAGGAAGTCCATGCAGGAGTTGGAATCCTGTCGATGTCTCTTCCTGTACCTGTGCCTTTCACAACGAAAACCCACAGCTGAAGAGACCCCACCTGTGACTGGAAGAGCGCCCGCTGCAAAGCATACACCGGCAGGGATCGGACGAGCAGCAGTGCAGTCTGCGCCGGGGCCAGGGAAATGGTAGTCTTTGGGGTAAGTTTTACTTATTTCAGGCCCCTATACTACCAGTACTATCGTCTTTGTCCTCGAAACCTGCATGGAGCCCCAGGAGCCCGCGCCCTAGCGGACCTCCAAGGCCTCAAGTGGAGGCGGCCGGAAACCTGACCAGGTCAAGATCCAGCTTAGACGCCCGACAAACTTTTTGGATCTTCTAAAACCCCTTACCTAAGCTCCTATACCCAAACCATGAGCTCCTGCTAAACCGCAAGTAAACCCTAAGCCTTTGTGGCTCAGAGAAGCCGGGCCTTGCAAGGCGCTGGAGGTCCCGCGCAAGGCCAGGAGGGGGCCCAAAACCTCCGTCGCCAAGTCCTCCTGCAAGCGAAAGAAAAACCTACCAGCACAAGGAACCCTTAAATTACGTAGAGCCTTGATCATCAGAATAAGGCCTTCGTCGTATATTGGATGATCAACAGAAGGGAACCCTGTATATCCCGGTATCAGGAATACTACACTATTCTACTTCTTGACGACCATTATGTTACGTCCTTCACATAAGAGACCGCTGGACCCTTCTGGCCAGAGAGTTCAGCTTTTTTGTTTAACCCCCCTTTCCAGAGGGTTCTGGAACATCTCAAAGTTCGGACTCGGGATCAAAGGGTTTTCGGTAATCATGCGGCTGGTAACTTTGCGCAGCGATTGCGGCTGCCATAGCAGTGATTGTTCAAGTCGGCGGTGAGCTGCCGGTAAATGGGAAGCTCCCGTAAGAGATCGCGGACTTCCTCGTAAGGCCCTCTCGTCATGATCCCCATGGTCTCTGCGCCTCCAAGGAAGCCATGACTTCAGGAAGACCGCACGCTGGCTCGGATGCCTGGTGTCGCAAGCTCTGAGTCTCTGCAGCCTCCAAGCAGGGCCTTGACGCAGCTCTCCAAGGCCCAGGCGCATGGCTCAGCACCATGGCGTCGCAGAAGCTGCGTGCACTGCTCCGCATTGGAGACCTGCAACGAGCGATGAAACAGGTGCTGCTCGGCGATGGCATGACTCGATGCCTCGTCCATCGAGCTTCCCAAAGTGATCGTCTTTTGCAGAAGCTGAAGCGCAGTCTGGCCACTGCGATCAGACTGGTCAGGGCCTCCCGCAAACACCACCCATTCAACAACGCTCATCTGCCACGAGAACTGGGATCCGTGCAAGCGCGCGCTTCCAGCAGCAATGTGAAGACCTTTCGGAGATGTCTAGTCTAGTCTGCAGGTATCCCCGAACATCTAACTTTGTAGCTCTTGTACTGCTGCAAGATCTTGAACACTCTTGAATCATCCCTTCGTTCTCGGCAACCCCTTCCAAGACGTAGTGCGCGGTGGACACAGAGAGGCAGAGACGCACATGACAAGCAATAGGAAAACAAGTCAGCCATGAAGGGAAGCTGCGTACCGGCAAGAAAAGCAACCACACCTAAGACAGCCGAACAAGCCCGAGAATCAGCAGAAACAAGCAAACATGCAAGTAACCCTGGCACCGAAACGTTTCTCAAGCAACAAAATAGGCTTCACCAGGTTGGAGTCTGCCTGATATGAGCACCCGCTTTTGGCCGCACCGAGCAGCGCCGTCTGTCCCTCCGCCTGGGGACTTCAGGATTTCGCCCTACGGGCTCATGGGTGAACATCCCAGAACTGCTTCTCCCTGCAGCACTAAGAAGTGTCAGCTCGCATGCGCGAACCAAGTACAGTGATAGAAAGCACGAGAGGAGTGTGGACTGTTATCAAGCGATGTGCCTTACTTGACTCCTGGATGAGCACCTACTCAGCGTGGACCTTCAACAGGAATGGGGTTCAGAGCAAGCGTGCATCGGGCAACATTTTGCTCCAAGCGGAACACGTGAGAGTGGTCTGGGATCGGCTTGCACGGGGCAAGTAGATCCCGCAATCACTAGGGCTAATGAATGAGGCTTACTGTTGGTGGACAAAATTCTGCATGACCCAAATATAGTATAGTACCATAAATCCCATAGTTTAGGTATATAAGGTCATGCAGGATTTTGTCCATCAACCGTATCACGCATTGCGAGTTGTCGGGTGCTTGACCTTTCGTTCTCACCTAGGCATGGTGTGATGTGTTCACGACTTATCCGAACCGCACCCGCTTGACGCGTGACGCTGGTTAAAAAAATCCCACCGGCCCTGAACGAAGAACGGCTTAGCAGTCCTCCGCGAAGAATTCAAAAATCGGACGTATCTTATAAACCACAACTGCAAGAACAGGTTGCTGCAGCAAGGGCAGCTGCGTGAAGCGGCAGAAGCCGAAACTCCCTTTGGAAGGAACTCGGAAGCACAGATGTGAAGTGAGCCCCGCATGGTTTCGGACTTCTCCCCCACTTCACAGCGACATGCTCGGCTTACAATTCTACAATTCGGAGAGCGTAGAAATACCCCACAGGCGCGCAGTCTCGTGGGATTTGCACATCATTCAGATTCAATCAGTCAAGAGTTGGCAAATACATGATGCGATTGTACTGCATTGCCATAGCTGAAGCCTAGCCCAATCCTGAGAAAACTGAGCCCGAAGGCGCAGGAGAACGAAAGAATGAGGTTTCATTCTCAGTTCACGATCCGACGTGAATCGTCTAAGGTAACTGCTCGGCAGCCGTGCCAGAATTGGAAAAGGAGGAAGATTCAGGCACAGCAAAACGGATTCTCGACATGCAAGCGAATTCCGAGCCTCGTGTTGGCCCGGCGACATGGGACTGTCCCAAAGCGTCAGTACAGCGTAGGCGACATGATTTCACTAACATCTAGCAGGGAGCCTTCCTTCATAATGGGCTCGAGTTTGAGACAGACCCGTATCTCGTCTAGGCCCTCATGAGCCACGTCGCCTCAGACAAAGATAGAATCATCTACGAATCAAAATTTGAGCAGGCGCCCGAACCCCCGAAGTGATTGAGTCAAAATTCCCATGGCGAAGCCTGCTGCGGGGAACTGAGGGCAGGGCTGCGCCGCTAGTGCCCGGACCTTAAGCAGGAATGGCAACTACAAGTAACATCTCTAGGGAAGCATAAGACCATGAACACATGACTGGTACTGCCAGTGACTATGACAGGGTTTCAAACTTTGGGTCTCATAGTTTGGCTTGAGGAGTCAGATGCTCATAAGTTCTTGCTGTGCCCCGGGCATTCATGCGCAACTTCATGGGAAGGCGATCAAAGACCTCCTTCATCCTGCATCAATTTGATCATAGCCGCATCTCGGAAGCTCCGATTCCCACAGGACTTGCGCTTGAATCTGCAGACAAGGACCCACTAACCCGACACCCCGCAAGCTTGTCGAATGCCCTCCACTCGTGCCTCTGGGTCCATGCATCAAGGGACTCGCCCGCGCTTTCCGAGAGCATCTGCCGGCGCCTTCTGCAATCTCTGCTCTCCGGTGGATGTCTTAGTTTAGGGCTTGGGTGGTTCAGGGCAGAAGAGGCTTCGGGCTTCTGATGTCGTGCGTTTCTGGCCTCTCTTCGTCTGCTAACTTGGCAGTGAAGCTGTTCGCCGCCGAGAAGGGGTCCCAGAGCGGTTCCTTCGCCATGCCCTGTCGGGATTCGACTCTTTGAACATGAACGCCTCCTCTGCGAAACCTTTGGTTGACCCTGCCTGCCGAGCGCTCAGTGGGCAAGGAAGCGCTCCCTTGTCCTCTACCATCTGCTCGGCAGTCACCTTGTCAAAGCATCTGAAACGATGCAGCGTTCAAGCAGCATTGAACGGTCAAGCTGGGCGTGGCAAGCATGTCCGGGCTGCTGGCATACTCCAAGACCTGTCCAGAGACTCGGTCAGGCTGCGATCAGTGCTTTCGTGACTACTGCAAAGAGACGCATGCCTACAACAGCAGCAAGAAGGGCAACGACAACCACAACGACGACGACGACCGCAGCAGCAACAGCAACAGCAAACGCAACTCTACCAGCAACACCACCACCACGGCCACCGCCACCGCCACGACCGCCACCACCACCCACCACCCACCACCCACCACCACCGGCACCACCACCAGCACCACCATGACGACGACAACAACAACCACAACAACCATAACCACAACCACAGCCACAACAACAACGACAACAATAGCAA